ATGATGCTGATGATGATGCTGGTGATTGATTATGATGCTGATGATGATGATGCCGATGATGATGATGATGATGATGATGATGATGATGATGATTGCTGATGCTGATGCATGCTGATGCTGATGCTGATGCTGCTGATGCTGATGATGATGCTGATGCTGATGCTGATGCTGATGCTGATGCTGATGCTGATGATGATAATGATGATGATGATGATGATGATGATGATGATGATGATGATGCTGATGCTGATGCTGATGCTGATGCTGATGCTGTTCAGACTCTGGGCGAGAGCGTCCCGGCCGTGCCCCGATGGCGCGACGCCACGGCGCAGCCCTGGCGCAGCTCACAGGGCACCGCGCGCTGCCGCGGCTCGGCCCTCCTCCGAGAGCGGGGGACGGCAATCCGGGCGGCGCCGCGGCCGACCTCCGGCGCGGCGCCAGCGCGGGCAACCCCGTCGGAGGTGCCCGTGCCACAGCCAGGCATACTTAAAATAAAACCTCGGACAGTTACATAAAAATAAACGAACAGTTACATAAAAATAAAACCTCGGAGGCCAGCCAGCCAGCCAGGGGAACGAACAGTTACATAAAAATAAAACCTCGGAGGTCCGCGCGGACCCCCGAGGTTTAATGTTCATGTCATTGTTCGTTCCTCTAAGTCTGGGGGGCGCCGCGGCCGACATCTCTGGTGCGGCGCCAGCGCGCCAAGCCCGCCTGCAGAGGTGCCCGTGCCAGAGCTGGGCATGGCGGGCGTCCAGATGCCGCGGAAATTCGCCTGCAACAGCTTCTGCTGCAGCTTGGCTGGGTCCTGACGCCCTCCACTTGTGGACGTCGCGTGCTCTCCGACGCGCGGTGGTGGGAGTTTTTGCGCAAAGGGCCTTCCAGATGACACGTTAGGAGTAGCAATGGCACTGCGATCCGCCATGATTCTTGACATGTCAAGCACTTCGGATGCACACCTGGGAGGTCAAATTCTGATTTTGCCCTGGTCCGAAATCCGGCTTAATCCGGCTTGATCCCATTCAATTTGGCTTAATCCCGTTTAATCCTTCTAAATCCGATTGAATCCCTCTTAATATGAGGCCCACTCCGGCGTAACAGCCCCCCAATGGGGCTTAATCCTTCGCATTCTTCCCGACGAAGACCTCCCAGTAGTTGCCTCCGAAAATCAGTGGCGAAGCGTCTTGGCTCGCCTATAGGCCCACCAAAGAATGTCCTGAATTCTTTTTGTTGCCTGCACGAAATGCTCTTAGAGAACATTTCTGGCTGAAGCTGTTTTGTTTTCACACATCGGTCTTGTGATCTGAAAACGTTGGTTTTGTTATTAGAGCATTTGTGGGTTCTAAGAAAATGTCGTGGTAGGCCTATAGGAATGCCGGGACGGTCGGTCTCTGCTCAAATATGATGGCAGGAAGGAGACATATACGCATCAAGACGGACGGCGCCAGCCTCGGCCTTCCTCGGCTTCTGGGCGCGCGCACCCCGCTCGGCGAAGAGCTGATATCCAGCTGGCGCCTGCTGCCCCGCAGCCGACGACCTTCGCCGCGTGCTCCTCGCCCAGGCTCGGAGGCCTGGGGGCTCACACCAACACCAATATCGGCGGTGTGCTTCCACAGGGATGGCGATCCCGATCTCGGTGATTGTAATTTTCGGGCTTCCTAGGTGGCCGAGAGATTACCACCAACACCAAACTCTGGGATCATCTTCCCCGGGTGGAGGCAGCCCCCTGTGTTGGTGTTGGTGCCCACTTCCAGGCCTCCTACAGGCCGTCCATCGCGAGGTCCTCGGCATCCTCCCAGGGGCCAGCGTCAGGGGCTGCCGTCGCTCCTCTGCCAGGGCCACCTCCTCGCGGGCCTTCCAACCCAACTCGCGGCATTTGAGCGCGGAGACGGCCGGCTGCAACGTCTCGCGCACATTGCCGAGGTCCTCGCGCGACATGGCCATGCCAGGGACCGCAGTCGAACAGGAAGCAACGCCGCCCTCTGCCTTGCCCGTGCGCGGCAGCGGGATGCCAAGCCGCAACTCAGCCCGCTTCGCACGCAGCTCCACCAGGGCGCTGTCGGCTTTGGCCAGCTCGCTGGCTTGGCGATCGCTCCTGGATGCGCACTCCATGGCCTGATTGTGCGTCGCGAGCCTTCCGATGCTTGACCAGCTGCTTGCCGAGCTCAGACGGCCGCGCCCCCGAAGGTTTCGCAGCGTCCAGCTGACACCCGGTGTCCAGGATCTCAGCTTCGCGATTCTCTTCAGCAGCACGCAGGAGCGGGTCGGTCTTGCTCGCCACCAGCTTGAGGTTCTCCCCCAGTTCTTGAGGCCGTTTCTTCGTGCGTTCGTCCGCGCAGCTCTCCGCATCAAGGCCCATGGCGTCATGCTCGCCCCCCTCGAGGCTGGGCCTCCCGGCCGCCAGGTCTTTAAGCCGGGAGATGCCCTGCCAATCGACGAGTTTCTGCCGCGACCATGGCGATAGCTTGTCAGAGCTCTTCTTGGACGGCTCAGTGGGCTGTTTTCCTCGGCCAATTGTAGCATGCACTTTGGGCCAACTTCGCTTTTCGGGCAAGCCTCCGTCCACGTTGCATTGTGCCAAACTTCGCACGTGTTCGGGTATTTGCACGACGTGCACAGCCACGTCACAGTCTACTCGTTACGATGCCACGGTGGCGCCATCTCGGCACCACGTCCCCATCATCAGTAAGCGTCGTAGAGGGTGAGAGGCGTTCGAGCATTATGCGTTGATGCGCCAACGGAGTCAAGGTCTGCCGCGGATCAACATTTTTCGTTTTTTGCCCGGGGTGCTCGTGCACCATGAGCCAAGATGGACACATAGCAAGAAGGGGAAGCATAATTAGGAGAAGGGGCGGCACCCTGGGCGTTCGAGTTGTTCAGGAGAGGGATGAGGGAAAGGAGGCGGGAACAGGAGGAAGAGGAGGAGGAGGAGCAGGAGGAGAATGACAAGGAGAGTGAAGAGGAGGAGGCGGATGAGGAGCAAGAGGACAAGGAGGAGGCGACGCAGGAGGAGTAGGAGTAATTACGCTCCTCTTTCGTCTTTCTCGCCGCTGCCACGTCTGGCTCTCTGCTCGCTCCCTGTACCGTCCCGCTTGCCCTTCTCTGTGCTTGTCTTCTCTGCCTTTCCACTTGTTATACTTGTTATCCTCTCTCCGCTTGCCTGCCTGTTTCCACCGCTCTGGCTCTCTGCTCGCTCTCTTCGCCGTCCAGCTTGTCCTTCTCTGTGCTTGTCTTCTCTGCCTTTCCGATCGCTCTCCTCTCCCCGCTTGCCTGCCTGTTTCCACCGTTGCGTTCCGTCGCTGGTGCGTCTGTCCCAGGAGGAGGAGGAGGAGGAAGAGGAAGATGAGACGGACGATAAGGACAATGACAAGGAGAAGGACGAGAAGGACGATACTGAAAAGGAGAAGGGCGACAGTAATAAGGACGATAAAGAGGACGACGATGATGAGCACGAGGAGCAGACAAGGGGAAACGATGAGGATAACGATGAAAAGGAGGAGGAAATCAATGAAGAGAGGGACGAACATAACGGGTAGGATGAGGACGACGCGGAGGAGACGGATGAGGAAACAAAAACAGTACGACGAGGAGGAAGATCCGACGAGGGTCGGAGAGGAGGAGCGAAAGATATGCCGCCAGCAAGAGAGCGACAGCAGGAGGATGAGGCCAGGGCGCACAGAGGCTGGGACCAGCTCGCCCCTCCTCCTCCTCCTCCTCCTCCTCCTCCTCCTCCCTCCTCCTCCTCTCCTCCTCCTCCTCATCCTCCCTCCTCCTCCTCACCTCCTCCTCCTCCTCCTCCTCCTCCTCCTCCTCCTCCTCCTCCTCCCCTCCTCTCTCCCTCCTCCTCCTTCTCCTCCTCCTCCTCCTCCTCCCTCCTCCTCTCCTCCTCCTCCTTCTCCTCCTCCTCTCCTCCTCTCTCCTCCCCTCCCTCCTCCTCCTCCTCCTCCCTCCCTCCTCCTCCTCCTCCTCCTCCTCCTCCTCCTCCTCCTCCTCCTCCTCCTCCTCCTCCTCCTCCTCCTCCCTCCTCCTCCCGACCTGCAGGGGAGGCGCCGCGGGGAACGTGCGCGCCGCCCGCGCCTTCCTCGCCACACCCTCTCCGCCGCCGCCTGTGCGCGGGTAGACCGCCCTCGTCGCCGCCGCCGCCGCCGTCGTCTTCGTAGTCGTAAGCCCGGCATGTCCCTCTGCAGGGGTAATTCTCAAACTAGTCTAAAAAATAGTTTGGGGACGATTTTTCTACTATTTTTGACTACTCTGGTGTACGTGTTGACTACTTTTATTTTTTACTACTTTTTATTGTTTTTCCTTCAGAGCCCGCCTGTAGGAGGACATGCCCGACCTAGTCGTAGTCGTCGGGCGATCGAGGGGAGGTGGCCGGAGGTTCTCGGACGCTTTCGGGCCTTCCTGGGGCTCCTCAGGGGCCCTCGCGGCCGTGGCGGGATCCGCCCCCAAAACCCGGCCAGCACACACCTCAGGAGGCAGTCGTCCGGCTATGGGTTTCCCGAGATTCGGAATGATGGGAAACCCCAGGAGACGGTGGCAGTGGTGGTCGTCGTCGCCGTCGCCGTCGTCCTCGTCCCTCCTCGCACGCCTCGCCGCCGCCGTCCGGGCGCGGGCGGACACCAGCGGAGCTGGCAGGGTCAGCCTGGCTGACTTCGAGGCCTGCCGTGGGGGAAGCGGGCCCGGAGGAGGTGGGCGCTGAACTTGGGGGGCTTCCTCGGAGTCCTGGCATCGGGAAAGGCCCAGGGTCCAGGCCCCTTTCGTCGACTTCCCTTCCCCTCACGGCAAGAGGTGGCCGTGCTGCAGCTGTCCTCGCATGTGGACCCGCGCGCTTACGTCCTCGCCATGACCATTGGCGTGGCCTTCGCCGGGCTCCTCTCACATATAGGGGTAGGAACAATGACATAAACATACAAACTCGTAGGTCCGCGCGGATTTCTCGGATCGGCGCTGGGGACCCCGGCGGCGCCTCCGGCGCCGCCCCTGGCGCGCTCCGCGCGCCAGGGAGGGGGGTCCAGCGCGGATCCAAGAAATCCGCGCGGACCTCCGAGTTGTTATGGTCATGCCAGTTTCCGTTTCTTGACATACACTGAACCTGTGGGGGCCACCTGCGTCCCACAGGTCGTTGCATCATTCGGTGTCCAGATCACCTCGGATGGCCTCGGATAGCCTAGGATAGCGTCGGATTGTATCGGAGACGGATTCGAAGATGGCGTGGATAGCTGGGCCAGGTGGGGTAGAGAACGTGTCCCCATATGTTCGACAAACGTGAGGTTTTCCTGCTCGTTCCCGATGGGGCCCACGCTGATCCAGACGTTCGGCATGACGAACTTGCAGTTTGGGATGCTTACTACAACGTTTGCGTTTGCGAAGCTCTGCTGGAACATCCCTTCGTCGATCCTTGCGGAGAGGTACGGGAGAAAGCCGTTGCTGGTTGGCGGCCTCTGCTGTATTGCCACAGGGCTGGGAGGGGTGGCGGCCGCATCGTGCTACGAGGAGCTGTTGCTCCTCCGGCTCCTTGTCGGCACCGGCGTGGCATCCACCTTCACCGCGGCGGGCATGTACATCACTGACATTTCGCACCCGCTGAATTCCGCCCGGACGCGGGCACCCATGCAGATGGGCATGTCGGCAGGGCTGCTTCTCGGGCCGGCCGGAGGAGGGTATCTGCTGGAGCATTGGGGGCTGCAGACGACCTCCGTGGTGGTCGGCTTGATATCGCTCGGGACAGTCCTGCTCGCGTCTCTGGTGCTGCCCGAGACCTTGGTGCACAGCGGCGCGCGCCGTCGCACAGGTGGGCTGATGCAGACGCTGCAGTCCTGGGGCCCAATCCTGCAAGACAAGAGCTTCCGGAGGATACTATCCTGGGGGTTCTGTTACAATGGTGCCTTCTTCGCGGCCCACGCTCTGCTCCCATTGGCGTTCGTAGATACAACAGGCTTAGCACCGCCGCGTGACTGTGGGGTGTCGTCGGTGCCTGCGTGCCAACCCCCAGGGTAGGTCCGTGTCGAGTCGACTCGGCGGCGACCTTGGCGTGGGCGTTCAGGGGTTGAACGCCGCCAGTGGCCCAGAATCAGCCAATATGGAACGATCTGGCGATCAAAAAGCCGCCGATCGTTGAAAGATCTACGCTGTGTCAAGAACCAACGCTTCAGTCGTCACGACACGAATCTGCCGTATCCGCCTCCTCCTCGTCCCTGTCTTAATATTTCCTTCTTCTGGGAGGTGTGTGGGGGTAGGGTGTCATCATGAGTATGGCAGAGAGCGTATACGTCAGGGGGCCTTTCGAAGGAGATCACGGACAGCTTTTCGTGCGGTCGAGTTGGCCTCGTCGGCTAATGTATCGACTCGCAGGGGGCCCTGTCACACGAGCCGCTGGAGATTGTCCGAGGTGGCATTGCTGGTGCCCTGAGTTGTGTACACCAGAGTGTGTGAACCTCAAGAGTCAGAGGGGCGTTCTACCAGGCCACTTGGCTTGCCAGATGCACTATAGTGCTTCCTCTGCCGGGTGCAGCCCAGTGGGCTGAGACGGATCTGTCATTATCGCCTTCTGTGATTGGCGGCGTGTCCACTGCCAACGCAGTGGTGGGCCTCATTGCCACTCCCATCGTGGCGCGGGCTGCCGACCACTTCGGGAAGCTCGCTGTTGTTCTGCCTGGGGCTGTACTGTATGGGTCTTGCTTGATATTGGTGCCGCAGGCAACTTCACTTTTAGAACTCCTGCCGATACTGGCTACCATGCAGGTGGGTGGTGCCATGTGCTCTCAAGGCCAAATGCATGCAATGGACCAGGTCGGTATTCGGCACCGAGCCAAAGTGCCAGGACTTTGGAACACATTTGGAGACGTAGGAATGCTGACCACGTCTGCCGCCTGTGCCACCATTGCTCAGCTGTCAGGGACAACCACTGCATTTCAGGCTGACGGAATGTTCTTGTTGGTCGCCACTAGTGTTCTGTTTTGGGTGTCAAGGCTGAGATGACCTTGCGAACATGTCGACATGGTAGGCCCGAGGTGCTTGCGAATATTCTTCAGCGTGCGCTGGAAATGTGCCCCCGCTCCGTGCCTCGTATGCCCACCATTTCGACCAACATCTCCTCCGCGCCCTCTCGAGGCATTGCCCCACTTTGGCTTCTGCCCTGGATCCGTCCGCTATTTCGACTTCCGCTCGTCTCGCCACCACCAGATCTCCTCCGCGTCCTCTCGAGGCATTGCCCCACTTTGACTTCTGCCCTGGCCATCCGTCCGCTATTTCGACTTCGTCTGCTCGTCTCGCCACCACCAGATCTCCTCAGCGTCCTCTCGAGGCATTGCCCCACTTTTACTTCTGCCCTGGACGTCCGTCCGCCACGCGCCCGCGCTCTCTGCATTGCGCACCCAAGGGCTCTGCGAGGCAGGGCTAGCCAACGTGGGTCCCGAAAAGGTCTTTCATTTTCGGCGTGCAGTTAAGGTGGTGCACGCCTTATGATGCAATACACGGTGTGCATTTGCGTTTGACCGCGTCTGCGCGTGACCACTTCCAATGCTCGTGCACACATCCCGCGCGCCCACCCGCAACTGGTTGGCAACAATCAAGGGGACGACGACAGTGACGATGATGAACATCCCAGAGCCCAGCGAACAGCAGCCACGGAGGTCAACAGACTGAGGGCGGTCTCTCCTTGAGACTCGAGCGCTCCTTCGTAGTCGAGGACTGGATCGGTTAGCTGAGGCTTGCCTGCGGCAGGAGCTGGATGCGCACGCGGCCGCGTGCCCCTCCAGAGCGCGGGCCCCCGTGCGGCCAGGTGCGCTGGCCCTCCGCACGTGCCTCCAGAAAGCAGGTGGCTTCCGCACGCTGCGCATCTGAAGCCGGCTGCCCGCATCCGAATCCAGCGGTGTGGCCTCTGCGTGCGACAACCGCTCGTCCCAGGTGCTCCGGCGCGACGTTTTTGTTCACCGCGTGGCCCCCACTGATGACCTCTCGGCGCCATCTCCCCGGTGTCTGCCGTCGCGGGCTCTTCGTGTGTGCTGGCCCCGAGGCCCAGACGGGTTCCCCGGTGGCCAGAACTCGGAACAAGCAAGACAGGGGCAACGATAGGGGGGGATGGGCATAGGGGGGGACGCATCGACCCCCAATCGCCCATTGATCGCCGATAGGGGCCCGATAGCCCCCACCCGCCCAGGGAGGTGCTGTTTCGCTATCGGGGGCCTATCGCCGATCTATCGACGATGCATCGCTGGTTGCAGATCGATGCGTCCCCCCCCCTATCGTTGCCCCTCAGCAAGGCCGTCGGCGCGACGACGCCGCCGCTGCGCGCCTCGGGCGAGCCCGCGAGCGCGCGAGCGGCGCTCCCCGCGGGGCGCCGGCGATGGGCGTGCCCGCCGCGGGCGCCCCGGCAGCTCCGCGGGCGCTCCTTCTGCTGGCCGTCGTCGCGGCGCCGCAGGAGGGGGGGCAGGTCCAGGCCTCCTCCTCCTCCTCCTCCTCCCTCTCCTCTCCTCCTCCTCCTCCTCCTCCTCCTCCTCCTCCTCCTCCTCCTCCTCCTCCTCCTCCTCCTCCTCCTCCTCCTCCTCCTCCCTCCCTCCTCCTCCTCCCTCCTCCTCCTCCTCCCTCCTCCTCCTCCTCCTCCTCCTCCTCCTCCTCCTCCTCCTCCTCCTCCTGCCGGCCTCCTCGCCTGTCTCTAGGCCTCCTGGACGGGGTCGGCGTAGACTGGGGTCGGCGGATGGCGCCCCATCGCCGGTGCAACGCCGATGCGGCTCGGCGTGCCGCCCGCTTTGCTTCACGTCGACCTTGCCGATGCATCGCCCACCTCGCTGGTGCATCGGCGACGTCGCCGATGCATCGCCAGTGCATCCCTCTGTGCATCGGCGATGCATCGCCGATGCATCGCCGATGTATCGGCGACGCGGCGCGATCATCCGACCCCATCTACTCTGACCCCATCTAGGAGGCCTCTAGGGGGGGGGGGTAGAGGCAGGACCCGGAGCGGGAGCGGAACTCCGAGGGGTCCTGTTGCAGGTTTGAGTCAGTTGGGCAAGGTAGTCGCAGCCCTGGAGAGAAGACACCGATACGCAAGAGGGTTCAAGCTCAGGGAGGGAGCTCACGAGGCTATGCCGAAAGCTAGCGCCCCCTGCCAGGACCACTTCAGGGTGGAAGGTATGTAGGGTCGAGGGGGAGGGGGAACCCTTCATCTCACGGGCCCATCTACCACTAAGGGGGCGCTATGGCTGAAGTGTCCAAGAACACAGGTCAGCCCTCATCTTAAGAGAGGCTGCCGCCAGATCCTTTTGTTGGATGTGTGCCCCAGCGTCACCACAAGTTTGTATGCTCTTTGTGGCATTGCATTTTAGCGAAGGTGCTTGACCACGCTCAGGGTGCGGGAATGTTGATTGAAGTACGGACCATGCCACCCACTCTGTGTGGACGTGGTCACCAATTTTGCATGGCAAAAGGCAGATCTTTCATTCTGGGTTCCGCCGGTTTGCGTGTGGCGGTTTCTACACAGTTGTCAGGGACTTCGTCCTGGCCTTCCTGGCCACAAATGGAAATTTGGTTTGCTCCTGTCACTATATGGATGCGCCACTCGTTTTCCACGACCCCATCCATAACGCCCTCGCTGAGCCGTTTTCCCGTCCGTCCCACTCTGACGATGATCGTCTCAATGCTCTTCCGAGAACTGTTAACCCGAGGATGTTGTATAGCCGCTGTTTGCCTTGCGTCTTGGGATGCCGCCGACCCTGTGAGCGGGACTTCCCCAGGGACCTTCGGGGAGGAGGGGGGCGGTACTTTGTTCTGGGACCCCCCCCATGCACCCCTCCCCTCCTTCCCCCCCATCCCAGGACCCTTCCCCCACCCCCTGGGGGGCCCCGCCCCCCGCGGGGAAGGGATCAAAGGGGGGGGGCATCCCCTCGACTTAACTACGAAGTTAATCAATTTCCTTGTGCTTGGAGGTTGAAGAGGAGGGCCCAAGGAAACGGAAGGGAGCGGCGACTGCAGTGGTGACGTCGGCGACGACGACGACGACAGCGTCTTCCACACGCCGACAGGGTCGGCAGATTTATGCTCCCTGCCTAGCAAGAACGCTCGCACGTTTTCCACATGCTAAGTGTGGGGTCATTGCTACTATTACATGCCTCCGCCTCGTCACCCCTTCCGTCATTTGCGCTCCCCCCCATTGTAGATGCTCAGTCAGTCATATACCACTCCTGCCCAGACTCGCATTCAACCCGCGTAGACTCGCTCACATCCGGACTCGCACTCGTATTCACTTATACTCAGGCTCATTCGTAACAGTTTCACTCACACGCAGACCCACTCGTGCACGTATCCGCTCACGATCAGTTCCAATTGCATTTGGGATCACTTACATTGAGGCTTACCCATGCCCAGACCGACTCATGCCCAGATCCAACGCGTACTCAGCTTTACTCACACCTCATACCCATATGCATACCCAGACTCGCTCGTACAAAGCTCACTAGCATTCAAGGGCCACCCAAGGGGCATACCCCATAGAATATAACACTGGCCCGTTCGCACTCTGATTGCGGGAACCTCTCAGGCGAAAGGCTTGTTTTGGCCATGCGGGCGAATCCCGCTTCAGGGCCCCATGGTTACCGCGATGTAGCAAGCATTGCATTCGAGCCTACCGAGGAGGAGCCCCACATGGATCCCCACCGAAGGCCCAGTGGCAAATTTCGCACGCCGCCCCGCCCAGCTCGGCACACCCGTCACACGTTTCGTTGCACCCATCATAGGGAGTTCCACCGAAGGCTTCAGTTGCAAAGTGTGCATGCCGCCCCACCCATTTCGACACACTCCTCACGCGCTTCGTGGCCCCATACGGAGCTCCATCGAACGCCGCCGTGGCAGGGTTCGCAAGCCGCCCCGCCCAGTTCGGCGCACCCTTCACACGTTCCGTGGTGGCCACATAGGGAGTGTCATCGATGGCCCAGGTGGCAAAGTTCGCGTGCCGCACCCCAATTTTCGGCACACCCCTCGCACAGTCTCATACCCATCAGGAACTCCATCGAATGCTCCAGTTGCATTATTCGCATGCCGCCCGCCCACTTCGGCACACCTCTCACACGTTTCGTGGCCCCATGGGGATCTCCACTGGCGGCTTCAGTTGCAACGCTCGCATGCCGCCCCGCCCTTGTCGGCACACCCTTCACACGCTTCGTGGCTTCATCGGGAGCTCCACTGACGGCACCGGTGGCGAAGTACGCATGCCGCCCCGCAATTGTTGGGCGCACGCTCCACCGAATGCCGCCATGACAAAGTTCGCGTGCTGCCCCGCCCACTTCGGCACACTCTGCACACGCTTCGTGTCCCCATCGGGAGCTCCACCGAGTGCCTTCGTGGTCGTATGCCGCCCCGCCCGTTTCGGCACACTCCGCGCACGCCGTGGTGGCCCCACGGGGACCTCTGCCGAAGGCTTCAGTTGCAAAGTTCGCATGCCGCTCCGCTTTGGACCGTGTGGGGGCCATGGGGTGCTGCAAATGGCACGGGGCCACTGCGGCGCAGCCGGCATTACAACTGTTGAAGCAGTTTTTCGCCCAGTCCGGCGCCTCCCTCAGTAAAATCAGTCAAGGCTCCGCTACAGGCAGCAGATCAGCGTATTCAAATTTGAATACTCAGTTGGCCTTGCTTTGCTGAAAAAGCCCTGTCTTAAGTAACATGCTGCAGTTGCGCAGGGGAAAAGTTCGCATGTCGCCCCGCTCATGTCGGCACACCCCTCGCATGTTCCGTGGCCCCAGAATGCGGCTCCTCAGTGGGCCTGGTTGGCCAAGTTCGCATGCCGCCCCGCTCATGTCGGCACACATTATGACGAGGAGGGGCTCATCACGTTGGCTTCTGTACACGCCGCTTCCTTCCGCGCCTCCCCCCGAGTCTCGTTCCTCTGGGCTGCTTCCTCATTCTCTCCATCCTTCTTCCCTGCCCTTCTTCGTCACTCGCACGGGTCAGGATCGGGGCCCCAGCCCCCCGCGTCCATCCTCGACTGTTGCTTCTCGACTTCCTTCCCAGGAGAGCGGCGCGGTCGGCATCGTCGACGCGGCCGCCGAGGCAGCTGACCTC